TCCTGGTCCCGTGAAATCCATACTCCCCCCTCAATATTAAAGCGTCCATTCTCCCTGTCCCCTCGCTCTCATTTTCCCCTCTCCCTTCTCTCTCTTTTCTCTTTTATAGGATTGTCCGACTCTTGCCATTCCTGCCATTTATCGTTTGCATCTGCTCTCATCGTTGGGATCGACAAGGCTTTGTGAGCCGAAGCAACAATGGCGGAGCGGAGGATTTCCTATGCTCCCGACGTCGAGAATGGTGACCATTCTCGTCCCACCGACTTGAACGAAGGCGCTACCCTTGATGAATATGGTGCTCTTAACCGATACATTTCGACCGCCCGCGACGGTCGTCGTGGCTCGACCTCCAGCGCTGGTGCTCTCAGCGCCAAGGAGAGCAAGAAGCCCTGGTGGAAGTTCTGGGGCAAGGGCGGTGATGCTGACGGCGAAGAAGGCTTCGTCTGCCCCGAGGACTGGCTGGAGACCGACTTGAACGGTCTGCCCAGCAGCCAGGTCGAACCGCGCCGCAAGCGCGCTGGCTGGAACGAACTGACCACCGAGAAGACCAACTTCTTCATTCAGTTCATTGGTTACTTCCGTGGTCCTATTCTCTATGGTAAGGATGGCAATTCCCGGGCGCCGACGCGTCGTTTGGGGACTCTGTGTTGACTCAATTGCTTCATCTAGTTATGGAATTGGCTGTTCTCCTCGCTGCTGGTCTTCGTGACTGGATTGATTTGGGTGTCATTATTGGTATTCTTCTGCTCAACGCCGTTGTCGGTTGGTACCAGGAAAAGCAGGCTGCCGACGTTGTTGCCTCTTTGAAGGGTGACATTGCCATGAAGTCTGTTGTCAAGCGTGATGGTCAAGAGCAGGAGATCCTTGCTCGTGAGCTCGTTACCGGTGATATTGTGAGTGGACCAACCTGTTTAATTTACGACTTGGGAAGCCCCGTTGCTAATTAACGCTCAACCAAATAGGTCATTATCGAGGAAGGTACTATCGTGCCCGCTGATGTTCGCCTCATCTGTGACTACGACAAGCCTGAGACCTTCGAGACCTACAAGGAATACCTCGCAACTGCAAACGACGACACCCTCAAGGAGAAGGATGACGAGGATGACGAGGATGGTGGCATTGAGGCCCGCCTTGGTGTCTCCCTTGTTGCCGTTGACCAGTCCGCTATTACTGGTGAATCTCTTGCTGTCGACAAGTACATGGCCGACACTTGCTACTACACCACTGGTTGCAAGCGTGGCAAGGCCTACGGTATTGTCACTGCTACCGCCCGCCACTCTTTCGTCGGTAAGACCGCTGCTCTCGTTCAGGGCGCCCAGGACCAGGGTCACTTCAAGGCTGTCATGGACAACATTGGTACCTCGCTCCTTGTCCTCGTCATGTTCTGGATTCTCGCCGCCTGGATTGGTGGTTTCTACCGTCACCTCAAGATCGCTACCCCCGAGGAGTCCGACAACACCCTCCTTCACTGGACTTTGATTCTTCTTATCATCGGTGTCCCCGTCGGTCTGCCTGTCGTCACCACCACCACCCTTGCTGTCGGTGCCGCCTACCTTGCTGAGCAGAAGGCTATTGTCCAGAAGCTCACTGCCATTGAGTCTCTTGCTGGTGTCGATATCCTCTGCTCTGACAAGACTGGTACCCTTACTGCTAACCAGCTGAGCATTCGTGAGCCCTACGTCAACGAAGGTGTGGATGTGAACTGGATGATGGCTGTTGCTGCCATTGCTTCCAACCACAACGTCAAGAACCTCGACCCTATCGACAAGGTTACGATCCTTACTCTCCGCCGCTACCCCAAGGCGCGTGAAATTCTTGCTCGCAACTGGGTTACCGAGAAGTACACTCCTTTTGATCCTGTTTCCAAGCGTATTACTACCATCTGTACCTGCGACGGTGTCCGCTACACTGCCGCCAAGGGTGCCCCCAAGGCTATCCTCGCCATGTCTGAGTGCTCTGAGGAGGAGGCTCGCAAGTTCCGTGAGAAGGCTACTGAATTCGCTCGCCGTGGTTTCCGTTCCCTTGGTGTTGCCGTCCAGAAGGAGGGTGAGCCCTGGCAATTGCTCGGCATGTACCCCATGTTCGACCCCCCTCGTGAGGACACTGCCCACACCATCGCTGAAGCCCAGCACCTCGGTCTTTCCGTCAAGATGTTGACTGGTGATGCTCTTGCCATCGCCAAGGAAACTTGCAAAATGTTGGCTCTTAGCACCAAGGTCTACGACTCTGAGCGTCTTATCCACGGTGGTCTTGCCGGCTCTGCCCAGCACGACCTCGTTGAGAAGGCTGATGGTTTCGCTGAAGTTTTCCCTGAGCACAAGTACCAGGTCGTCGAGATGCTGCAACAGCGTGGCCACTTGACTGCCATGACTGGTGACGGTGTCAACGATGCTCCTTCCCTCAAGAAGGCTGACTGTGGTATTGCTGTCGAGGGCTCTACTGAAGCTGCCCAGGCTGCTGCCGATATTGTTTTCCTGGCCCCCGGTCTCAGCACCATTGTCGACGCTATCAAGCTTGCCCGCCAGATCTTCCAGCGTATGAAGGCCTATATCCAGTACCGTATTGCTCTGTGTATCCACCTTGAGCTCTACCTCGTCACCTCTATGATCATCATCAACGAGACCATCAAGGCTGATCTCATTGTGTTCATTGCCCTGTTCGCCGATTTGGCTACCATTGCCGTCGCTTACGACAACGCTCACTTTGAGGCTCGCCCCGTCGAATGGCAACTGCCCAAGATCTGGGTTATCTCGGTTGTCCTCGGTGTTCTCCTCGCTGCTGGTACCTGGATCATGCGTGCTTCTCTCTTCCTCGAGAACGGTGGTATGATCCAGAACTTCGGTTCTCCCCAGCCCATGCTCTTCTTGGAAGTCTCTCTTACCGAGAACTGGCTCATCTTCGTCACCCGTGGTGGTAAGACCTGGCCCTCATGGCAGCTGGTTGGTGCCATCTTCGTTGTCGATGTCCTTGCCACCCTCTTCTGTGTCTTCGGCTGGCTCGCCGGTGAATACGTTGAGACTAGCCCTCCCAGCCAGGCTACGTTCTCTGAGAACACCGACACTGACATTGTCACCGTTGTTGTTATCTGGGCTTACTCCATTGGTGTCACAATTATTATCGCCGTGGTCTACTACATCCTCACCATCATCCCTGCCCTCGACAACCTCGGCCGCAAGAACCGCTCTGTTGTTGACACGAAGGTTGAGAACCTGCTTAACTACATCTCTAAGCTGGCTATCGAACACGAAGTTGATGCTCACGGCAAGTCAAAATACACCCTTGGTGCTCGCACCGAAGCCGAAGAGGATGATGAGTAAACGCTCTATAAGCGCTCATTCTCTTAATTTCCTATTATCTGGATATCACTTGCCCATACATGCATTCGCTGGTTCCTCTGGCTTTTTACCCCGTATTATAGACTTTTTTTTCCCACTATTACCCTTGCTCTAAGTCGATAGAGTCAATTTCTTTCTTCTTTACATGTATGTATGTGATTAATAGTGATAAATTTAGTGGCAGAAGGGTTCAAGAATTACTTTACTTCCTTTCGCAACTCGTAAAAGACTTTAGCTCCTTCGAGATTTCGCAAAGCTTCTCAACTTTTCTCAACCCTTGAAGCAAGCTCGAGCTCCAGATCCGCCAATTTGCCCAGTTTGGGCTTCATCTCCGAGCTGGGCATCCATTCACCAATTACTGCGGAGGAGGTTCGCGTGCTGTGCGCACAACACCGCGCTAATCAGTAGTGCGATTTCTTCGCAGTCTCCACACAAGGTTTCGTCTAATGACGGCCTGCCCTGTTTCATTTGATTCGGATCGGCCGTGCAGCTCCATCTTGCAGACGCGAGGAATCAACAATTTCATGATTCTCCTCGCTCCAAATCCGGCTCCATCGCCATCTCCATCGCTTGTTTGTTGTTGCAAATTGCGTGTGCCGTGCTCGTACTCGTGCCCATTAGACGACGCGCTGCGGCGCTGCAGACTGCAGTGTGGAAGTCTCACCTAGGCTCGATGGATCTGTTAACGTTTCACGAACAGACCTCGATCGGCTCAGCTGCTTGTCGGTGATTCGGCCTCGCATGTTGTTCCTGATTCTTGTTGTCGTTAGCTTCGCCTGCGGTGGGCCTTTGTTTGGAACTATTGATGACGAATGTTTTGGGGAGAGAGCGAGGATCGTAAGTTCGTCCAGTGAATCGTAACGTTGTATCATTTCGTCATAATTGAACGGCGTATCGGTGATCGTTGTGGTCATTGATTCTGCTAATGAAAATAGAGATAGGCTTGTGTTGTGAGTCTGAGAAGTACACACCGTAAACCCACTGCCTGAGGCAGCAAGTGCCCGTGATCTTTGTAGAGTTTAATGTTTATGCTTCAACTCCAATTTGAAGTTGCCTTCAAGTGTCACTCCTGTTCTCTTCCGTTTTGCTTCTCGCGTCTGGTATCCAGCGCACCTTCATACGATGTAGCTCCAGCCAAACGACTGTTTTCAAAGCAGTCTCATCGATGATCGCCTTCCACCCTGATATTATTGATTTCCAACTATACCCAAAGAGCGTTCTTTCGGCACAGCGCTTCCTGTATTCCGGACATTCCGCAATATACATCGTGTTAATATGCTTACAGGCGGGATCCAATTCTCCGTTGCGCTGCTGATGGAATTTTCCGTCCGCTCACTTGACCAGTTTTTTTTGAAGCCAGGCTGATCATCCAACACAGCGGCAGTTAATGCACACACAATTGGACGGATTTCCAAGCTTCCGACCCAGTTCAATCAAAACCGGAGCTTCATATGCTTGACTTGACTAGAGCGAGGCTTGGAGGTGATTCGAGACCACAGCTGCGAGGCGACTCGACCCCCCGCAATTTCTCCCGAATCCTGAAGATTTTCCGGGGCAATGGCCTGGTACGATGAGCTTGCTATGATATAAAGAATACCATTGACGGCGATGAAACCGAGATTAATTTATTAAGATTCATCAACTCTATCCCACTAGGCCAGCACAATGTTAAGGCCATACTTTTGGGCCTTGCTTCTCAATGTCCTCTTGGTGTGCGCAGCAAGTATACACTCCAACGCCCGCCAGCGTTGCCAGAGATCGCTAGAAGCATGTCCCAAAGGCACAGTCGTTGTTTCGGCGTCCAATCCTAAAGCTCAATTTTCAAACGTTCAAAGTGCAATTGAGTCGCTGCCAAATGATAACAGCAGCCAGACAATCCTTGTCCTGGCAGGCGAATACATCGAGCAATTGAATGTCACCCGGCCTGGCCCAGTCACTTTGCTAGGTCAGACGGACCACATAACCGATGCTTCGAAGAATAAGGTGACCATCACCTGGGCACAAGCCAACCATGACAATACTGGCCAAAGTGTCGATAATGTATTCTCAAGCGTCTTGGTCGTTGCACCCACCCTCGATTCCAGTTACACTGGTTCCGGTCCGACAGGGTATCCTGTGCCTGAGGATACGCCCTTTGGTAGCGTCGATTTTCGCGTGTACAACATTGACTTTACGAATACCTGGTCTGACTTTTCGGACGGCCCAGCGCATGCTCTCAGCCTGAGTCGCGCCAATGGTGGCTTCTACTACTGCGGATTCTATTCGTACCAAGACACAGTACGTTGTTATGCCGGGCTATTCACAGGGTGGGCTAAGTTAATTATTGCAGGTCTACGTAGGCAAGTTAGGCAACGCATACTTTTACAAGAGCATCATAGCTGGACAGACCGACTTCCTATACGGCTTCGGTACCGCCTGGATCCAATCGTCTGATATCCTCCTTCGCAACTGCGGCGGCGGCATCACGGCCTGGAAGGGTACCAACACCACCTTCGAGAACAAGTACGGCGTCTATATCGTCGAATCAACGGTCCAAGCTGCCAATTCCTCGATTGCCCCGGAAATTGTCGGTAGCTGCCCGCTAGGTCGGCCCTGGAACAGCCTGCATCGATCTATCTTTGCACACTCATACGAGGACGGCAGCGTTGCGTCCTCCGGATACATTGACTGGATTGTTGACGGCGAGAGCCGCCTAACCAATGGGACCTTCATGGCTGAGTATCGCGTTTTCGGGCCGGGATTCAACCAGACTGGCCGTGCTTCTACCAATGCCTCGATTGTCTTAACCCCTAGGGAATATGCCCCTTATGACTCCCCGCAAAAGGTCTTCCTAACTCCAGATGGCAAAGCAGGCAATGTTGACTGGATTGACTGGCACGCATAGGTAGTCAGACAGATACTACACTCTACGTAGCAAGGACAATCAACGGCCAACGGCCAACAGTCAGCAATCAGCAACTATCCCTCTTGTTCCACCCTCAAGATAAACCGTCCAACTCTCCCAGTGCAGCCAAATACGCCGCCCCTGTATCCGCCCAGACCTCATAAACCCTAACCTTCCACCCGTCCTTTCCTTCCCCATTCCCCTCTTCCTCCGCCAAAGAAATCTTATAAATAAATACCTCATTCCATCCCTGTCCCGTAGCCTTACTCACAAATCTCGCCTTTCCTTTTAAGCAAACAACAGCGTTCTCAGTATCAACAATCCAGTCCTTCTCCCCATCGAGTTCCATACTCTCAACCCCAAGGTTCTCGCTCAGTAGGTTGAAGTACCTCGTTCAGCCATCCCGTCCGCTGAACGTGCGGCCTAGGAATGGCGCGAGCGAAGAGAGACCGTGCTCGTAGATACATGGTGTCGGGGAGGTGGTGAATGTTGAGAGGAGGGTAGGGATGTCGGCGCCGGTTGAGAAGGCCGTGCAGAGGGCGCCTGTACCGGTTACCAAGTCAGCGCGGGTGGGCATTTTGAATGTGTTCTATGAGAAGAATTCTGCTGTTCCTTTTATCCCGTCTTGTTCTGTAATCAATGGGAAATTGGGAGAGTTTTTGAGTTGTGGGGGAGAAGGTGGTAGATGGTTGCTGCAGGAGGGATGGATGACGTAGTTGTAAAGCAACATTCTAGATCCAAGCCCTAGATAGATAGTCCCACGTAGGCAGTATCTCACTGCGACGGGACTTTTATTTTGAGGGGGAGGGACCCCTCTGAATCCAGCTGCATTACGGTGAATGTGACTGACCAGTCGAGTCCATTAATGCTACGCATGTTCTATGGTGCAAGCTGTGATAGAAATTAAGTCGGTTAGAGCAGTGCAGTCTTTAGCAGGTACAGCCAATTTAGAATGTGAAAAAGCAAAAAAAAAAGGCCCAAATTCATCTGGATAATGATAATACTAATATAAGAAAAGAAGATGGCCTCTGCGCAACCGTTGCCCAAACCAACAGCAATGACTCCTCCCCCTTTTAAATGACCCTCGAAACTCCGCGCCGCCGGTAATAGTGCGAAACTCTCACATAGGAGGCAAGTATAGAAATAATAGGAAATAGTCTTGAAGACATTTATAGCCTGATTACTGGCGCCATGACTTTCCACAATTCAAGCATGTGCAGAACAATGTCATAGGTTCATCTGCACTGCGGGTCTGTGCCTCAGTATAGGTCACCTTTCGTTGACCACATTTTCCGCACTGCAAGCTTGTGCTAATACTGCGCTCGGCTTGGGCTACCATAGCCTTGTCCATGTTCTCCTTTTGGATCTTTGCATCCTTCTCGCGCTGTTCGTCAGACCGGAGCTCGTCGTGGGACATTTTCACAAAGTGCTCAGGAGTGACGGAGCTGCTCAGAACGCGTACGCGAAGTGTTGGGTTGGACTTGTTTTTGAGGTTCTGGAATAGACTGCGAATCTTGGTGCGGTATGGTTCTTTCGTTTCAGGCCCGAAGGCATCGTACGCTGCAGCTTCGACTGCCGCAGCCTTTGATAGCACAGCCTTCGGAGGTTCCGTCGAGTTGAGACAGAGTCCATCATAAATAAGACCAATACAGTTGTCGCGTGCCTTGATACCCGTCTGGTTTGTGTCAACTCCATCCGCCTTCCATGTTCGCTTATCTGGAGACACTGTGAGCTTTGAGGCCTTATCCGACGGAGTCGCACTGGCTGGTGAGGCGGTTCCATTCTGAGGTGGACGGGGAGATGCGCTTGATCGTTGACTTCCCCCTGCTGATCCGCTCACTTTTTGCTTGTTGACCTCGTTCCGCCATCTGGAGACAATCTCACTCGATAAGCGTGCAACTTCCGGTGATTTGTGTTGTTTGAATTTGTTGACTATAATACCGACACGGGTAGATCGTAGTAGGTCTTCAGAGGCCTTGACACCCTGTTGTAACTCCTTTAATAGCGATACTATGTTGGCCGCTGGCTCATTTTGGGTTGCAGCCTTCGTGAGGGCCTTTGCCTTCAGTTCGATTTCCTTCGGTTCCAGTGCCATTGTGGTTAAAGAAAGTGCGCTCTCGAGTACAGTAAATATAAGCTAGAAGACTGGTAGATGTTAGATAAAGTGCGTATGCAACGTTGAGTTCGAAGAGAAAAAAAAGCATAGGTGGGAAATGGAACAAAGCGTAGATGTATAGAGACCAAAAAACCCAGTCGATGATAGCATGTTGCGCAGAAACACGAACAAGTCTCCAACATCTAGATATATGCTAATTTCACTTATAGCATTTGTTGCGCTCGCAAATCTTATTTCCAACCAGCGCGGGACAATCGCACGTGCCTGTTAGACGTTGACTCGAGAGCTCCAGATGATGGGGAATCCAGATCCCAGCGACATGAACAGGGAAATAGCAACATGAAAAGAAGTAAACCAGAATATAACTAGTGCAGGAGGGGCTATAACAGTAAAATAGATTCACACACTTACCCTCTGGGGTCGGTTAGGACTGACGGGGTACCGCGATGCGGAGGGTAGCGAGTGGGGTTCACAAAACGTAAATGTGAATTGCGCTCAAAACGGGCGGCGGAAACGCGCGCGATGCTGTTGAGAAAAGACGAGGATGGCAGAGGTGAGGTGAGTTGGTAAAGAGAAGTTGACAAGATGGCGGCGGGAGAAGAGCTCCGAGTCTCTGTCGCAGTGCCAAGCTATGTCTTTCCTATCTGGGAATAGCCGAATCCTGCCCGCCCAGGGTATACTTCTCCAAGGGGGGGGGGGGGTCTCCAATTCTAGCCACACGATGATTTCTATGAACATTGATTTATTGTCTTTCAAAAATTATATACATAAATTTGGGGCAGATAACATGCTGTGTAGGGGTACAGGTAGAAGAGCAGCGAACTATGTATTCTTCCACTCCGTGAGAAGATGGAAGTATGGGGAGATTCAGGGCTTGACAATGAGGCAACGGAGAGCAATAAGCACACATAGGGCGGGATAAGCTCTCATAGTGCTCATGGGGCAGTATTGCAACGGGGATGTTGTGGCGGGGTTTTGCTAGCAGGAAGCGTTTCCCCCAAACGCTGGAGGTTGAATGCGCGCAAGCTGGTGACCGAATTCTGCATCTGCGATGATCATATCCAGCTTCCAGCACGCGAACTGTGTGGTGTCTGCCATAGCACTTGCAAGTAAGGGGCAGAAGAGGTGTGGCGTTGTATAATATGCGAAGGAACTGTGTTCTTGTGCGATTAGATGCCGGTCTTCCCCAGAACCTCGGCGAGCTTGTCGACTTCCTTGTCCTCCTTCTGAGCTACCTTCTCAGTCTCTGCCTCCTTGGCCTCCTTAACAACTCTCTCAGCCTTCTCCTCCTCTTCCTCCTCTTCCTCCTCTTCCTCCTCTTCCTCCTCTTCCTCCTCTTCCTCCTCTTCCTCCTCTTCGCTCTCTTCTTCCAGCTCATCTAGCTCGTCAACACCCCACATGTCCTCGGGGTCATCATCCTTGCCATGTTCTTCCTTCCGGGCGTCTAGGAGCTCACTAAGTTCCAAGATGTTATTATCCTCCTCCTGGAATTTGTTTCCGTTGAGCTCAATACGGCGTAGAGATGGAAGGGCGGTCTTAGCTGCGTGCAAGAATTGCTTGACACCCTCGGCTGAGATCTCGTTGTATTGCAGGCGAAGGGTCTCGACCTTCTGGTTCTTGGCCTCAGCAAGAGCTTGGGCAACCTTGACTCCTCCACGTGCAGAAAGCAAGCAGTCGCCAACTCCCAGCTCGCGGAGGGAAGGCCATCCACTGAGCACAGTAGCAAGAGCAGTAGATCCGGTGACAGTGAAAGTGTTGTCCTGCAGGTCAAGGACTTCGAGAGCCCTGGCGTGGCGAAGACCCTCCTTCAGCAGGTGAGAGATACCTTCTTGACGGATTCCGTTCTGGGTCATCTTCACCGACCGAATTCCAGCCGCATGCATCTGGTAAGCCCGGGCCCAAGCCGCCATGCTGCCATTTTCCAATCGGTTCCGTCCGCAGACAATGCTTTCCAGCAGAGGGACCTCCTTTCCGCCCTTGCGTGCCTCCTCTTTGCGCTCTGCGAGCTCTGTAAGGGCATTGGCGATGTTCGAACCCGCCTCCGGCCCCATTCCATTGTTGTTCAAAATTAGGTGGCGGAGAGGTGTGTGGCGAGAAAGGAAATCGACGAGGGGCTTTTGGGTGTTGGCGCCGAAAGCATTGTCGGAAAGATTAATGGTGTGAAGAGTCGAGGCCTCGAGAAGCGCATTGAGGAGGAAGGTGAGAGCGGCAGGGATTTCGCTGAGCAAACGGGAGGTGAAGATATCAGCGAGCTCGGCCACTTCGAGACTCTTCTGGGTGGAAAGGACGGCGGCGAGGCGTTCGGACGCTGGAACACCCAAAGTATTTCCCCCAAGGCGGATTTCAGTGTAGTCAGTGCTCTCAGTTAAAGGCTTAATATAGGCGTCAATGTCTTCAGCAGAGTCCAATTTCAGGCCTTTGCCCTCAAGAGAAAAGATCTTTGGAGGGGCCATGGTGGGGTAACTTCGGAGTTAGAAAATGATAGGTCGCTAGGTAAAGGACAAACAGAGAAGAAAATGGGTAGTCTAGAAAATTGAAATCGAAATACCAAAGTAGGCAAGCCAACCGGGCAGGTTCCAGGGGGCGTGGTTGAAGAAGAATCTGTTGATGAGGGGCACAAGACCGTCCGAAGCCACAGCAACAATGGAAATTGAAATAAATTGTCAATAAGGAGAGCCGCCGATCGCCGCTCCGGTTGCCCACACAGTCCAGTTCCGCCGTTTCCGCCCGGCGCATTTGAACTGCTCGCATTATTATTAATCAAGCACGTCTTCAATTGAGAATAGCTTCAGTGTATTTGTTGAACTGTTTCCGACCTTCTTCATTCGTTACTCATTGCCAAGGCCATACCCTGCCATATCTACATCATGTCCTGGCTTTTCGGTTCATCCAGCGGTAAGCCAGCCCAGCCCAAGCCGTCTGTCAAATGCTCTTTACCATGCGGAGAAATCTTGCTAATGACCTCCAATTCCAGGCTCTGCTGAGAAGACTCCCGCGTCCGTCGCGACCCAGACACCAGCGGCAGAGAAGCCCAAGGTTCGTACATCGCTGAACAGATGATCACCCAACCCGAGCTGACCATTGCCAACTTTCCCTTAGCCATGTTGCGTATGCAAAGACGAAAAGACAACCCGAGATGATTGTATGCTTTTCTCCAAATCCGATGACCCGACGCAAGAATGCAAGTCCGTGATCGAGCAGTACAAGGCCTGCATGGCCGGGTACGGTTTCAAGGTCTAAACTTTGTGCCCTGATCCTGCCCAAAGTCAAGTGTGTTTATGCATTTACTGCGCCGTACGAGACAGTCTACGAGAATTTTGTGTATTATAAAGTTGCAAGGATGCTGCCGACATGTGATAGAATGGAGGCGAACCTCTACGGCATTGACTCGGTGTTATGGTCATGGGTTTGATCTGGGTTTCAAATGTACATTAGTTTGCATATCGTAGTTCTATAGGACTAATCTCCTTTCCATTCGCTTGATTTGCCCAATTGTCCAGACCGAATATATGCGGTCGAGCTTCCATATATGTGATTTTCGTAGGACATTTATGGCACATTATATTTGACGAGCTCGGAGCGATTTTTATTTTTTCTCCTTTTTTGAGCTCCTGTGAAATGGGTATCTTTGTTAGTCGGACGTATCTTCTAATTTATTTCACATATGCCGAATCATCTGTCACTGATTCTTCTTCCGATTTTCTTCCACCTTGTGATCCATCCGGCGGGATAGGCTGATCAGTTTCCACAAGCACCAGAGGTACGATATTCCAAAACCGCCGGCGCCAATGAGGGCATTGAGAACCACCCATAGATCTGGCTTACCAGGTGGTGGAGGAACAAAGGCTTCGAGCACATGCCACCCTATCATAGCAAGGTAGAACAAAGAATGTATCAGTTTTGTTAGGTAATGGGGCTCAGTTTCTGTTTCTGTGTCCGCGGCAGCTTTTTGATGGCGGTACACCTGCCACGACGTCGGGGGAAGGCCTAACAGGAAGGCCCAAAGGTATGTCACGACGAAGTATGGGATCCGAAGGCCGTCGCGTTTGAGCAGCGGGTATAGAGTCCAAGAGCCAAGGATATTCGCCCATCCTACCCATGATCGAGTATCTTTGTTGAGGCCCCCATCACCAGCAAGTAGCAGTGTCATCGGAAGTAAAGGTAATAATACACTTTTTTCGTGAACCTGGAAAGAGAAAAGAAAAAAGCCCCAACCAACGGTAGAAAAGGCAGGGAGGAGAATCGAAGCGCGGGGATGGCGGAAAATTATGGCGCATGGTATCAGAATTGATGCCAATGTAGCACCAAGCGATACGCGCTTCAGCAGCTCCGGCTCAAACCGGTGGAGTTTGTAAAAAGTGTGAACGGCGCACCAGGCATTCGCTACTTTGTCCTCAAAGAGACCACGAGAGAACGGAAAAATCCGGTGGATAATCTGAGTCAGTTGAAAAATAAAGAGATACAATGATGAATCGCTGTCGAGCCGAAGGGGAAGAGCCTGGAGTAAAGGTGGTTCTGGAGTAGACTGAAGGTTCTCCCTCGCCTCCGTACTTGTAGCGCCATACATCAAAGGGAAGAAAAGGACAATAAAGGCGGCAGCCGTAACGAGTGATATGCTGAGAAGTCGAACGATCCGAATCCGAGGGAAGATGCAAACGCCCAGGAGGAACGCGAACATAACCGGGGCATAGTATAGAGCCATTTGCTTAAACCCCAGAGCCCCAACGAAGAAAATGGAGGCCCAAAGCATGCGCCCAGCCATTATGGCGTCAAGAGAGGCAACGAATAAGCCCAGCATCACGGTATTATACTGGAAATGACCGTGGTCGATAAGTATAGTTGCTGGTTGAAGGAGGATGGCACTAAGAGCAATAGAAGACGACCATACGGGAACGGCTTGCATCCTGGCGTAACGTCGCAAGAAAGTGACAACTGCCGGGACATATATGAGGTACTCGGAGACAATCACTGTCGTACGCATGAAGACTTTGAGTAGGGGGTCTTCTAGGCCGCGGGAGGTATCTAGGGCAAACCACGTCGGCTCAAAAATAGAGCCTCTATTTGCGGTTAGCATATTGAGGAAGCATACAACAAATTGTATGTCAAACATACAATTTTCCTAATAACCAGCTATGATATGCTGTCAATGGCGGATAATCGAGACCCCAGTACGGTAGATTGTACGTATACCATTTGGACAAGGGCAGATGAATGGTTATCTCCATCCAGTGACGCTGGGCTTCGAAATCGCCGTACATTGGGGGAATATTAAAGCCTTTTGAATATTAGAGACTCTGAAACAAGGGTCTGCTTATTGATGATAAGCCTACCTGAATACCCCCACAGACTGACAGCCCAGCGAAACAAACCCACTGCCATCAGGATAAGAGGTAGGACGAGCCATTGTGACACGCCAGCTCGAGCACCCCATAGAAATGAGACTAAAGGAAACGCGGGCGCAGGTTTATCATTCCCGGAGTCCACGGTAAGTGAGTCGTTGGAGCCAGAGAAGAGTGCAGACTTTCTCTTCTTGCGCGGACGATAGGAAGAGGGGGTTGAGGGCGCCATATTAAGTGAAACGGGTCAATGGTCTTCCATTGACTATATAGAAACTATACAAAATGAGACAACAAGAAAACAAGAAAAAATGCGCTGTCGGGCAAGGAACGACGTGGGTTGAGCTACCGGAATTCCACCGTGGAGACAGAATACAAACGTTGAGGTCAGCCAGAAGCACCTCCTCCGAGGTCCCCACTATTTCCTCGGCGTAGTTCCTAGCCTAAGCTGGACACGGAAAGCGGTACTCCAAAATTTCTGCCAGCCTTCTAATTTTTTTTTTCTCCCTCTTATCAGAAGCTGCTCCTCGAGCTCCCAGAATTTTCTCTTCCCCTTCTCTTTCCTACCAACCCATCTTTCATCGCCCAAGGGAAAAAAGTTTCGACTTGTTCGCTTGGTATATCACTTTGATTTGATTTTCCTGGTTTATTTTATCTTCTACTGACGCGGGATCGCAAGCTGTATCTTTTCAGATACACTTCAACAGACACCTTGTTTGTGGGCTTTTTACACTGAGGGCTGTGGGCTGTAGCATCTATTTGTGGGATCTAACCATTTTCTCGTGGGTTTCATATCTTAGACAGTTGCATATCTCCTGTCCGTTTCTGTGGGCTTGAACATTGTCAGTTGTGGGCTACTTGTGGGCGTCCGTGTAAATCTCTTCACTTTGGGATTTACCTTCAGTCGTGTTTGATCACTTCTGAATATTGAACTCTGTGGGATCTTCAAATCGGGTGATTGTGGGATCAGAGGGTTTGCCGCACTTTTGCTGTTGAATTCTTTTTCGGAACATAACCATCAGGTAAGCCCGTTGCTCGATGTTAACAAAACCAGAGCTCTGTTTCCATGCTAACATGACTCTGTCTTCACAGTCAAAATGTCGAAGACCAAGTCCGTTACCAAGAAGGGCTCTGAGAAGCCTGCTGCCAAGGCCTTGAACAAGGTCAAGGATGCCGGTGTCACCAAGGCGGCTCAGTCTCCCAAGGCTAAGAGCAAGAAGGTCGCACGCGAGCTCGCTGCCAAGGAGGAAAAGTCCAAGCGCAAGAAGAAGGAACCTACTCCCAGCAGTAGCTCTGAGTCTGAGTCTGAGTCCGACTCCTCTAGCTCCGAGAGTGAGAGTGAGGAGGAGAAGCCCGCTAAGAAGGAAGTGAAGAAGCCCGCTAAGAAGGAAGCCGAATCATCCTCGTCTTCCGAGTCGGAGTCCGACTCCAGCGACGAAGAGATGAAGGACGCTTCCAGCAGCGAGAGCGAGAGCGAGAGCGAGGAGGAGAAGAAGCCGGCCAAGCCGGTCAAGGCTGAGTCCAAGGCTGCCAAGAAGGCCGAGTCGAGCGAGTCCTCATCAGAGGAATCCGATTCCGACTCCGACTCTGATTCTTCTGAGCAAGAGAAGGCTCCTAAGGCCGCTGCCGCGGAGTCTAGCGACAGTGAAGAGTCCGACTCTGATAGCGAAGAAGAAGCCCCCGCCAAGGCCAAGAAGGCCGACGCAAAGGCTTCTGAGTCTGATGATTCCGACTCTGATAGCTCCGAGGGCTCTTCGGACTCTGACTCGGATAGTTCCGAGTCTGAGTCTGAGGATAGCGAGAAGCCCAAGGACTCCAAGAAGCGCAAGGCCGAGGAAGAGGCTTCCCCTGTTTCCAAAAAGTCTAAGACTGAGGAAGGTGCGTCAGCTAATCTTTTCGTTGGCAACCTCTCGTGGAACGTCACCGAAGATTGGCTTCACCAGGAATTCGAGAGCTTCGGTGAGCTCTCCGCGCGCATCATGACTGAGCGTGAGACTGGCCGCTCCCGCGGATTCGGTTACGTCGAATTCACCAACGCCGCCGATGCCGCCAAGGCCTACGAAGCCATGAAGGACGCCGAAATCGATAACCGCAAGATCAACCTCGACTATGCTACCGGACGCCCCGCCAACAAGGACCAGGGCAATTTCAAGGATCGCGCTCAGAACCGTGCTCGATCTTTCGGTGACCAAGCTAGCCCCGAAAGCGACACTTTGTTCGTCGGCAACCTGCCTTTCAGTGCCAACGAGGACTCTGTGCACGAGGTATTCGGTGGTCAGGGAACCGTCCTTGGCATTCGTCTACCAACCGACATGGAATCCGGCCGGCCAAAGGGTTTCGGTTACGTCCAATACTCGTCTGTGGATGAAGCTCGCCAGGCTTACAATGATCTCCAAGGCGCTGAGATCGATGGTCGCCCAGTCCGTCTGGACTTCAGCGCACCCCGTACTAACAATGGAGGCGGTCGTGGAGGCTTTGGTGGCCGTGGTGGTGGTGGTGGTCGTGGAGGCCCTCGTGGCGGCGGTGGCCGTGGCGGTCGCGGAGGATTTGGTGGACGCGGCGGCGGAGGTCCTCCCAACCGCGCGCGTGGTGGTATTCCTGAGTTCAAGGGTACCAAAATGACTTTCTAGACTCATTGTAAGCATGCTGTATTCTGTCACAATGTTTAGGCTCTCTGGGAAAAGTTTCGTTGTTTGTTAGTTCTAGGTTCTACTTTCTGTACTCAACGGCCTTCATGAGATAGGTTCTCAATGAATAATACTATTATCGATGTCACGGGTATGGCTATTCGTATTTGACAGTTACAATCATTTCAGGCTTGGGACTGGGGCAGGTATGGTGCTGCCTTATGGACTTGGATTCCGCTCTTTGTCTGATATAGTAGTCAGTGCCCGAGTCTTGGCGTGCTTTGTTCGTCCCCCGCCGGTCGGCCGCTTCTGCACTCGATTCTCCACCTTTTCTTATCTGATCTGTTCACTCCCCTTTCCACCCCCACCGTCTTTATTTTGTCAACCTCTTTGCTTCTATTTTCTCCTTGTGAGTGGCGTCTTGCGCGGCAGCCGAACAGTTTCTCACTGGTTGTGCGTCGATCCCTGACGCAGGCAGGTGGCTGAGGACAAGTCAGCTGTCATCGGTCCGCTGATTGCTCAACCCCATCCAGAGTCACAAACTCACAGCATCAACAACGAAGACTACTTGAGACGTGCCGTCGTCGTCAACCTATCCTAAATTTTAAGAGACCTGAGTTAGTTTCTATTATTGCTGCTGCAGTTATCTCTGCCAAGCGCCTTGTTTGGTTGGGACATCTCGGGCGATCATCGAAAGTCTGGGTCGCTTTCTCCACGAACCCCACCATCGTTGTCTGGCACTCTGGCTTGACCGCTGCTCCTTGACGGGTTGGACCACCAGGTATTCGGCCCTCTTTCCCTCCCTGTGGGCTGACTGTCCTTTGGAGGACTTGTTCCCCTCGATTTCTCAGGGCATCCTCTGTATCCTTCTGCATCCTTTCGTCCTTCCATCTACGAGACACGATCCATCCTCCTTTTGCTGACTTGATACACAGCGATGCAGCCGAATCACTATGACCTTCTGGGTCAGGTGCAGGACGACAGCAGAGCTGCTTCTGGCCGAGTGACGCGGGATGCGCTTCAGTCACGTTCTGGCGCGCCCATGAGATCAGAAGGTAAGTCGTTCCTCTGCGATTCCGTCTGAATATCTTGCATCTTTGTCTATTGCCTGTTGCCACCCAGTTTCAGAATTCAATATACATGCTTATATTATCATCACTATTATTACCATGTACTCACTCCAGCATTATATAGATTCGTGGATAGAGGTATCATCCCAGCCTTCTTCCTCATCGCTGTCCTCAGCCGCAACCACAGATGACATAATTACCACTGGCCTTCGTGTCCAGCAAACGGGCTCTGGCCATTATCATCGCCGAAGCCGCCGACGACGTCTCCAGCGGCTCGCAGCTGTCACTACCGCGCAAGTCGAGTACTCATCGCACGAACCCAGCAGCAGCCAGGATGAATACGAAGAGAGTGAAAGTGAATCGGATCGCGTTTTGACCAGTTCGAATGAAGACATGCCTCGTCCAGCTCCTGTTGGCCCCTCTCTACCCCATACGAGTGCGGCACCCATCGCGTCAGATGCGATTCCTTCTAGCGATGAGGATGATAGTTCAACGGCGCTCGGTATGCGTATAAGCTCATCTCCATTCGTTCCTCAGCCCAATGTCTTTTCCCATCCTCCCGCTTCTTCCGAAGACCCCTCCTGGACTAGGCCTTCCGAAACTCGCCGTTCACGGCCTATCAGCGACGTTTCTACATCTAGTCGTCGGACCGCTATACGAAGGAATTCCCAGGCTAGCATTCGCTCATCTCAACGGCCGTCAAACCAGCAGCACAGCCCGTACAACGTCATCTCCCCGTCACACCACGCAGACCATGACGCTGCCTTGCGCGCTAGTCTTTCGACGCTGCTTTCTTGTGCTGCCGCAGCCCGAGGTCTACCGAAATCAGAGTCGCAACCCGCACCGTCTGGGCCTCCTAGGGCTCAGCCAGCCTCATTTCGATTGGTATCTGAATCTGTGGCTATGGGAGAAGGGGCCAACGAGGAAAACCCAGCATCAGATGTCGAAATGCGTACTACACCTCGCTCAAAGCGGCCCCAACAACCGGCAATGCAGTGCTCACCGCGGGGAACTTCCTCCACTCGCACGAAGCGCCGGTCGAGTGCTTCAAAAGACCGCGGTTCTAGCCACTCTGCTGCTAAGAAGAGCCGCCGGTCAGGTAACACAGACTCGTCCTCCGCGGTGATGACGTGGGTTCTAAGTGCTGGCGTTGTGGTGCTTTTCTCCGCGATCAGCTTCTCCGCTGGGTATGTTTTTGGTAGGGAGTCTGGGAAGCTGGAGGCGAGCATGGGTGTTGGGGCCGTCCTAGGAGAAGCTGGCGCTCCGGGCAGCAGAGCATCCGCGGCCTGTGGTCAAGAAGCGGTTCGAGGTGGTCTCAAGCGTTTCCGATGGAGCCCTGGCTCCACTGGATCCGGGGTAATTGCCTAAGCGACTCGGTAAGGCGATTGAGGTATTTCGACGGCGTTGATGATGGGTTATGATTTTACGAGGTTTTCTGACTATTGGTCCTTCTAAAAACCTTCCTTTCCTTTTCCCGTATTTCCATTTCATTTTTGTTGGAGTTAGCATAGCACTTTGGTACGCCTCTGGGGTCACCTATTCAGACCACCATCAGCAAAAGTCTCTTACAGGGCCATCATTGACTCTGTGCATGAGGGTATCTTTCACTTATATGGGGTTTCCTTCTTTTTGTCACAGGTTGATGTCTTTTTCCAATTGTCTGTTCTTGATATGTTGATCGCAAGTTATACCCATCTTTTCCGGCATTTCACATAATGATAATCCCGGGACAATGCAAACACTTCTTTTAACTAGCACGTACCATCGTTTCCCACAAATTGTACGAGTTCTACTTTCTAGTCATGTCTGTACGATAGTAAAAAAGTTGATGGTTCCAATTGTCCATGCCGTGCGTCGCTCCATTTGAGACTTGGGCAGAGGGAGTCAAACTATCAAAACAAGTCAAACGGGACAAACAACAACACCCATTTCTCTCTTTAGGCCGAACACACTTGCCATTGTTTCACTCGTTAAACAGCGCCCCTGAAATATTTGTGGTTTAATTTGGGCATAATATACGTCGAGCCTAACAGATGCCCGAGCCCGCACGCGAATCGATACCCATACGCCCGCCTCGCGTTGCGATCTGAAGCCCCGCGTTCACGTCGCGTCCTCCCCCGAAGTGATATTTGACGGAAGTGACAGAAACATCCCGGTACATATCGCGTTCAACTCGGGGTGATATTTGCCAAAGTCGTCGACTAGTTGATTCCGGGGGAGGGGAAACAATGTCGACCCGACACCCTGCGCGCCCACGTCGCATCGATGACGCCCTTTCGCAACTGATCGAGTCTCTCACTCCCCCGCTGCCTCTGTCCGCCATTGGCGACGAATACTCGGATGATGCCGAGGAAGCTCTGGCGGCGGCCGAGGAACATCGCCATAATGCATTTCTAGAACATGCGTGGCGCACTATAGACACGCACGCGAGTTCTGCGGACAACCCAGGAACACCACCCGGAGGGATTGGCCGTCGAGGGAGTTTGGCAGGAGCGGAAAATATCAATAACGCGTCGGATTTGATAAAGCGAAAATTACTACGCGAGAATGCCAGCCCGGACAAGGCCGTCCGGTTCTCGAATCTATACTCGCGGCTCCTGACTCAGCCGGTGCTGTCGCAGAAATGGGGGATATTATATCTACTCTACCGGCTATCGAGTGCGGATGGTTCTGAGGATATTATGGGTGAAGATGGAAGGCCACGCAGCCCACTGATGGATCATGCCAAGTTACAAAGGATATTGATAAAAGACCCTAGGGCTGGTAGTGGAGCGGGGGCAAGTTCGGACGATGAGGGTCCAGCTATTAACTCGTCAGCGTCCCAGATGGCAGCGCGTCTTGAGCGAAGGCCGTCAACAAGGCGAGCTGATTTGGAAAGGGAAAGAGAAAAGGAACGGGATATAGAACCTGGATCGGGGCCAGAGCGATTACGCATGAGCCGCCAACATGAGTCCACGACAAAAGATTCTCGAGGGGATGAACAATTTAAGGACTCGGAGAGGGATCAGGGAGCCCCCCGGCCTGTTGAATCCGGCCTTTTACGAGATCTACCATTTAATCTTCAGGGTTTATCCTCAACTGATTTACAATTCATGTCAGCTTCAACACTCAAGCTACCCCCAACATTACCTCTCCCAATGGTATCCATTCTGAATACACTAGCAGAACCATGTCTCCTATATCGAGGTCTTTCAGCTTTTGTTGAAGGCAGTGGTGGGGGCCTCGTCAGCCAGAGCCTGCGGGCAGCTCTTTCGAATGAACTGCGCTCCTATCTAGGCTTGGTAGCGACACTCGAGGGCGAGATTCGCAGGGCACTGGCTGCACCTGAAGAATCTGGTGCTTCCAAAAGCGGTGTGACGTTGAAACGATGTGTTGTCTGGACCAGAGATGCGACTATGGCTCTGCGTTTGTTGAGTTTGATCGTTGAGGAGGCCCAAAGTGAGTGTGTTGCTGTCTCTGCATTTCACTGTTCTAACATTTGATAGGCAAAAAAGGAGGCCAGTTAATATCTTTAATCCATGGCTTTTCAACATCCCACGGGGATCCCTTTGTGTGTAACTTCGCAGAGAAACTCCTTGCGCACGTAACGAGGCCTTTCTACGATATGCTGCGCCTCTGGATCTACGATGGCGAGTTATCAGACCCGTATCAGGAATTCTTCGTGGTCGAACCCGAATTCAGACCAAGCACAGATCCACGCCGCATCGCTACCAGCGTCTGGGAAGATAAATATAAACTCGAAGATGACATGGTGCCATCAATTATTACGCAGGATTTTGCCAAAAAAGTTTTCCTTATTGGGAAATCCTTAAACTTTATCCGATATGGATGTGGTGATTCGGGATGGGTCGAGGCATACTCGAAGGAAGCGTCCAAGGAGCTGCGCTACGGGGACACAGCCAGTCTTGAAACTTCAATCGATGAGGCTTATAAGACTACAATGGCGCGGCTAATCCATCTTATGGACGACAAGTTCAGACTCTTTGATCATCTCCATGCCCTGAAGAAATATTTGCTGTTAGGCCAAGGTGATTTCATCGCGCTTCTAATGGAATCACTGGCCTCGAACCTCGATCGACCTGCCAATTCACAATACCGACACACGCTGACTGCCCAATTGGAGCACGCTATACGTGCTTCCAATGCACAATACGACTCTCAAGATGTTCTTCGGCGTCTGGATGCACGCATGTTGGAGCTCAGCCACGGCGAAATTGGGTGGGATTGTTTTACTCTTGAATACAAGATTGATGCTCCTGTGGATGTTGTGATCACACCCTGGGGTTCTACTCAGTATCTCAAAGTCTTCAATTTCCTCTGGCGCGTGAAGCGCGTCGAGTTCTCCTTAGGTAGCACATGGCGACGATGCATGACTGGCGCCAGAGGTGTCTTGGGAAGTGTTGATGACAAAGTTGGTGCTGACTGGAAGCGCGCACGATGCGTCATCGCCGAGATGATTCATTTTATCTGCCAGCTACAATACTACATCCTCTTCGAGGTTATTGAGTCCAGTTGGGATCAATTGCAGGCGTCTATTTCCAAGCCAGGATGTACGCTTGATGACCTTATTGAGGCTCACACCAAATATCTCAACTCTATAACGCACAAAGGCCTTCTAGGTTCCTCGAGCTCGTCGAAGGCCAGCTCCACCGGCAAACCGGAAGAAGGTTTCCTTGCCCAACTACATCATATTTTGAAGATAATGCTCGCATATAAGGACGCGGTTGATGGGCTATACTCGTTCTCTGTCGCAGAATTTACTCGACGACAAGAACTAAGCGCAAAAATCGAGACACGCACTGCGCAAGGGCAGTGGGGAGTCTCGGAGCGTGATCACCTCTCTTCCCGACATAGCCAAGCGCACAGAGTCGCTTCCGCATCCTCATCATTCTCCTACACGCCGAACCTCGGAACGGCGCCTGATGAAGTAGCGACGCCCTCGTCACTTGCAAACCATGATCTCTCTACGGACGACCATATGCTTCCATCGCTTCGTACTCGACTCCGTGACCTCGCAGTAGAGTTCCGCTCCCGTCTAAACGTTCTTCTGGGCGATCTTGCATACCAGCCAGATGTGGATATGCGGTTCTTAGGTGTGGTCATGAACTTTAATGAAGTCTATGAGCCGGTCCGACGGCGCAGAGCAACCGGCGCCAGCTCCCGAGATAAAGAGCGAGCAAGACGGAAAGCACCACCGTCTGGGGGAGCCCCCGAGGCTCAGTCACAGCAAAGAGATGCCAAAAGAGAAAAGAAAGATGCAAGCGGACAATAGCACTGCATCGGTGTCATTTTTCTTATAGTATGATGGGGTTCAAACGTATGGTTTTCGTCGTGATTGATTGGAGTCATGGAAGGGAAAATGCCTATGGAACTTCGAATCGGCAGGATAACGTAAACTAATGATTGTACGGTCCATTATTATAGATATCACAATGTCGATACATAAATATATGTAGATTACACCGTACTTTCCTCTTTATCATTGTTGCCCCAAGGTATAGAAGGATGTCTGGCCTTATCGGGCGGGTCTTATCAGAATCACGTGGAAAATTTCCCCCAGAATCCAGAGCAACAATAATTTCTTGAAGCCAGCAACACACGGAAACCGCACACCTTTGGGCGTCAATATCTCTATCTATATATTAAAGCTAAACCCTAAAACCTCGCGCGACTCGAAACCAAAACCAAAACCCAGATATACCACCCAATCACTGCCGCAATGGCAGAAGAGAAAAAGTCGCGGTCGAAGCGGACCAGCTCCAAGTCCAAGCGCACCAGGGACGTCGAGACTGATGTTGACGCCGATGTCAACATGAAAGATATGGATGCGAAGCAAGAAGAGGATAGCAAGGAAGACGCTACTGAGAATGGCAAATCCAGTGGTGACAAGAAACAGCGCCGGAGCAAGAAGCGGAGACTCGGCGAAGATGAACAGGAGCAGGATGGAACGACTACGTCGGTGAATGGGGAGGTAAATGAGGGAGAGGAGGAGCGCAAGAAAAAGAAGAAGAAGAAGGTTTCTTTTTCAACGGAGGCTAAGGTGAAATCCCCGTCTCCGTCGCCAATGGAGGAGGATGAGGAAGCGGAGGCAGACAACGAGAACGCGGGTGCGAGCAAAAAGGAGAAGAAAAAGAAAAAGAAGGAAAAGAGCAAAAAGAATGCAGAAGGCTCTACGAATAATGACTCGACAAGTTCAGGATCCAAAAATGGCGATTCACCTGTCCTTGCCTATCTTGATCAATACCATAACGACCGGCCAGCGTGGAAATTCCAAAAAATCCGCGAGATACAGCTCTTCAAGCATATTCTGTCGCTGGAGCATGTTCCCACCGCATATGAGGCAGCTCTCCTTTCCTACCTGCAAGGATTGAGGGGCGACGCGGCTAAGCAACGCTTACGCGAGATAGCCCAGGCCGCTGTGAAGGCGGATGTAGAGGAAACAAAGGAGACCAACGTCGACAATGCTGAAAAGTCGTCTGATGAACCGGCGCCGTCACCCACGGTAAATTATAGGAAAGCCATCTACGCTTTGCGAACAAAGTTGACTGAGGGGGAATTGACCGAGGATCTGGGCGAGTCTTTTGAGCAGCTGGATACAGAGATGCTCGAAAGGTTCCGAAAGAGGCGACGTGCAGAGATTGTACTATTTGCTGTTGACGGAAGGGTCTTCACCATGTCGAATCTGAAGGCGCCACCGCAGAAGGGCAAGAACGCCCAGAACCAGTCCGCGAATAAAAAGAAGAAGAATCGAACTGCTTTTGTGGACATCTCGAGCAGCAGCGAGAGCGACAGCGAAGACGACGAAAAAGCGCAAAAGAAGTCGAAGAAGGAACAGCCAGTCCAAAGCAAACCTGCTAATAAGAAGAAGAAGAACAGAACGGCTGTCGTGGAGATTTCAAGCAGCGAGAGTGAAAGCTCCTCTTCATCCGATTCAAGCAGTGACAGCGATTCGGACAGCTAGGCTCATCTTCATCTTCGTCATCATAATTATCAGAGGTCGTACTTGCCCCATCCTGCCATTTTCCGGCTCGAGTTACCACTTCCTATTGATATATTACCACTCTTAACCCACTTCTGGAGTGCCAAAAGTTCTGATATCCTGATAGCATCACGGCGTTCTCATATTTGGTGCCCATCTAACCAACGGTTCTGGCGTAAATTTGTTGTTTTTAGACGCAAAAAATAACGATAGAAATCACCCACATCAAATGTATATATTCATCAGAAAAACATTAATTCGTAGACAGATATCTATATCTATAGATCGAGCATGGTGGTTGAGGGTGGTGGGAAGGCGGTGACCAGAGAGCTTACTCAAGTCGGGCCAGAAGCTTGAGCTTCAGCCAGGCATCCTTTGGCACGCGTCCTCTGCCTCTCCAGCCGCTTTCCATCTCCATTCCCTCTCTGTCCGCATTTCGATCCCCTCTTCCTTGCCTTCTCTCTTTTCACCTACATCCAATCCGTTTTGTTGACTGTTATTTTCAAGCACCACAATCATGTCTGGTATGTCCTCAGACCAATCCAACCGACCGTCATGACTTCATCGATGGGCTGCTAGTCCAGTATCTAACAGGAAGCGCAGGTTACGACAGGCACATTACGATTTTCTCGGACCAAGGCCGTCTGTATCAAGTTGGTATGCAACCCCGGAACCAAATATGGCACCCCCAGATATCCCGACCACAACCCCAAACGATTAAGATCCCGCTGACAAGGATTCCCCAACCTGCAGAATATGCCTTCAAAGCTATCACCGCCGCAAACATCACCTCGATAGGTCTAAGGGGGAAGAACTGTGCCGTGGTTTTGTCTCAGAAGAAAGTTGCCGTATGTCGCCTGTGGTATCTCCGGCATAGACCGTTCTGACCGACGTTTAGGATAAACTGATCGACCCCTCGTCTGTCACGCATATCTTCAGACTCTCTCCTTCAGTTGGCTGTGTTATGACTGGCTCTATTGCCGATGCTAGAGCCTATGTCGACCGTGCCCGCGGTGAGGCTGCGGAGTTCCGATACAAGTACGGCTACGAAATGCCATGCGACGTTCTTGCCAAGCGTTTAGCCAACATCAACCAGGTGTACACACAACGGGTGCGTTTTCTTTGCTGATGCTGTTATGTCTCAATATATTTTCAAGCGGCTAATGCTTTTTTATGTCACGTAGGCTTATATGCGCCCGCTCGGAGTTGCGATTACCTTGGTCTCTGTCGACTCAGAGAATGGCCCGCAACTCTACAAATGTGACCCTGCCGGTTACTACGCTGGGTACAAGGCCACTTCTGCTGGTCCCAAACAGCAGGAGGCTCTCAACCACATGGAGAAGAAGCTGAAGAACAAGGATTACGCCGAGGGTAGCTGGGAAGAGGTTGTCGAGCTGGGGATCACCGCCTTGAGCAGCGTGCTAAGTGTGGATTTCAAGAAGCACGAGTTGGAGATTGGCATCACCGGTGGTCCTCGAACAGACGGCAAGGAGGGCACAGATCCCAACTTCCGGGCACTGACTGAGGAGGAGATTGATGAACGGCTGCAGGCTATCAGCGAAAAGGATTAAATCTGTTGGTCCGATCGGTAATACTGGTAGACAAACGATAACAACATGATACATGGATCGCATTCTAAATCTGGGGTTGCCCCGAAGCGTAGTAGTATCCCTCGCCTCTCCTTCCCCATAAGCCGGTGGCGATAGCAGTTAAGAGCACAGCACAAAGCATCACGGTCAGAAGAGATGATATTGGAAAACTTGGGGATGCAATTCTACAGGCCAAAGGTAGATGCAGGCCCGGACGGACGCGAAGCCCAAACTGTCAGACAGCACCGAGGCGCAGCTGCGGGCTCAATAATTCGGCCAGATCTCACAATAGCACAACATTAGGCAGGCTCATGGAGACTCCGGCCGATGTTGGCAGGAGACAAGATGTGAAAATTGCCACCTGATAGCGCATCGATCGTTGAGACGGGATCGGAGTGGGTTTATGAAGAGAGGGATCAATCAGAAGAGCGAGCCTAAGGCTGCATCTGGTCCCTGTTCAGCTGGCGTTGTCGCCTTGGTCTGTGGCTGAGCACCGCCAGTGGGTTCCTTCCCACGTTCGTGCGTCGCTTCGGCTGCGCTTCCAGAACTGTGTTTCTCGTCTGTCCAATGTTGCGCCCGTGCTGGCCCCATAAGCCTATCTGTTACTTGACAGACTGTGGCAAACTGGATACGAAACGACCGACCCCAGCTGGCCTGATCGTCTAGACCTGTTTGGAGCTCTTCTTGTGAACTGCTCCGAGACCGACCTGTGGCTTTGCAGCGAATAAGCGCCCGCGAATTATCGAAATCTGGCCTATGGTGTCTGTCACTGCGTTTCGAATTCTTTTTTTTCCTATTCTTTCTTGACACCCCCTGCAGCATGTCCATGCTCCTGGGTGGTTCTTCTCCAGCGACATCACCGCGCATTGGCGTGTGGGATTGATCCATCGCATCCTGGCCCAGTAACCAGCGTAGCCACACCTGCTTAGGTTCACGCTTAATCCCCTACTCGGTTCCAACTCCGTCGGGCTGGCGTAGCTAAATTCTATCTGGGACAACACATGGTTCCCACGTCTTATGGAAGTCCCAGCGTCTGTTCGCTATAGATCCACTCCAATGGATCTAACACCTTCCAGCTGTGATGTCTCTTGGGACTGCCGACATCAGCAAGCCATTGGCACAGCCAGCCACATCTAACGATGATCCTACTCTTGCAATACTGTTCTCCTTCCCAACAAGATGACTGAGCTTCTACTCAAGAACGTTGCTGTTGAAGATTAAGCTTAAAAGGAATATCCCGCCCTCCACCATGGATCAGACATTCGGATGAAACAGACACTCATTCAGCCAAGCCAAACGGTTGTACTATTCTATTCCATTCTTTCTTTAGTATACAAAAGCATCACTTTATTATCTTATACTCTGCCTTCGTCGTTATTGCGCTTCGTGATTTCTTTGCCTAGGTCTTCCGTCTCCCACCTCAAGGAACAATCAATCCTTAGGACGGAGCAGCAGAAGCAGTAAAAAAAAGGACCCGGAGTTCTATTTACACAATGGCTGACGGACGTAAGCAGCATCTCCCTTCTTAGATGTAAGAAGATATAAACATAATACTAACCAATGCCAGTTAACCAAGCACGCGCCCTGAGGGTAGCTGAGCTCATGAACGATTACCGTACTCTTCTTCTACACATCTCCCAGCTCAATGTCTCGGTACCAGCGGAGGATCAAGCGGAGGATGGCTATCGGGTGCTCAGAGAGTGCCTTGCGGCTGCGAATGCCTTGATGAGTTCGCACTACAGCCCTAGCCCACCACCAACGAATACTTCGAACGAGGAGGCTGAAAGGGCCCAATTGCGGAGGTACTTCCCTCGTCCGAGCGCTTCTACGCCGCGTATAGTTCCTTACGGTCAGCAGAGTTATACTTGACGGCAGTGCGAGACGGTTCCAAGCTCATCGCATCTACCTTCGAGCAGCAGCAGCCAAGCGATGGGTCATGCACCGAGGCAATATCCTTCAAGGACAAAGGCCGGGGCAGCAACACGCGGACCAGATCAAAGCCGTGAATGGCACCTTCCGGCAGGTAGGTTTATGTCTTCTCCCGTGTCTTTCCTTTAATTAACCGTACTGGTTTAGGAACTCGCACAAATATCCAATCAGCATGTTGTCGCTGATCTCCGGGCCGCTGATGTACGGGCGGGTCACTGGCTTGACGACGACCCGACATTGGATGCTATTCTCTCTTGGATCCGGTCTCATCCATGAGCGCAGGACTTTCGCTTTCTGGACTGAGATTGCACGCTGGTTCGCCAAGCAGAGAAACAGACCGAAAATATACGCTAATGATACGATGGATTGACTCTATGACACGACATTCTTCTTCATCCCTTCTCCGGTTGGCAAAGACATACATTATTACTACCTCAACCATTTTATGCGCAGGTCGCCTTCAACGCCCATTTGAAAATTGGCGCATGGATTGTCAGCGGGGGATGTTCTATTTTTCTCTTTTCTTTTCTTATGTGTCCAAGATCTTCCTGTTTCTCTGGTGGCGGTGATTTCTCTTTGAGTGCTGGTTTACATTCATCGTTCGATTTACCGTCAGGGGGCGGCTGCTATGCCTACTATTTCGTTTCGATTCCAATATTTCTGCATCTCAGGGTAGCCCAGTGTCTTTGGAAGTTTCATACAGGGTATAATGTTTCGGGTATTCTGTTCCAGCCGGGAAGAACCAAATATGGCTGTTCTTAATCTATTTTCATATTTCTATACTTCCTATTCTATCTTAGACGTCTCTTAGACATTTTGATCAGATTATTATTGACCACCAATTTCGCAGAGCAGTGAATTTCCCTCCTTCTCAATATGGTATCTTCTCCGTTCTTCAATTGAAATCCAGTATACAGTAACATCGGGTAGCAGCAACCGGAGCACCAGTTGGGCTGAACACGAAGCCTGTTGTAGAGGCGGGGAGGGACAAAACCTTTCTCCTTTCTACCGATGAAAGTACGTAGCAGATTCCCAATTTCCCACAGTTGTGCGGTTTAATGTATCGGCAACTGTGGACGAAGGCCCCTGCAGTAGCTCAGTAGGTGGTGACTGATCTGCCGTGGTGGGGAGGATAAGTGGAGAGTTCAGCTGAGGTCTGTTCAACTCTCTTGCGCTAGGAGCCGTTAGCCGAGCATCTCCGCTATCAAGAGACAGCATGGATCCAAATTACCCCAACAGGGAGCCCGGGAGGTCTTGGACAGAGTTTTACGCTTCTCGCTTGCCCTCGAAGCGACTCAGGACGTGATCCTAAATGCTCGTCGTCCATCATGTGGCTCTAAGACCCCTCGCACAGTTCAATCAAGACTTGCGCCGCTGCGCCAGCCGCCCATTTAACCATGTAAAAATCCCAGACTATAACCTGACGGTCTCCGAGATGATCGAAGCAAATACAACCCATGGTCATTCCCATAGCTTAAACTGGCACTGCAACCCCGTCATGAATCCCATGATCTCCTCCACAAATGCGCCTTTAGCCTCGCTCGTCGATCATGGGAGGCGCCCTAACTCTAAATCTGCTTGAGTTAAGCATCCTTTACAGTTTACAATAACTTCGGACCAACTCGGTCTGGGAGGCTGATGTGAGACTAGAATGATGTTCTCATCGGGGGATGTTCGTCCTACGGTGGCTTCCATGCCAGAGCTCGGGGGTTGAGCCTGGGTGCTGGTGCAAAATGCGCTCGTGACAGCTCACCAGACGAGTCCATCCTCGATCGCTCGGGGGGTCGCATTATTCTCATTCCTCCGAAAAGTATCCCTGCTTGAATGCCCCTGTCTAGCCAGTCCTATTGGTGCGGGGGGTGAATGTATCATCGGGCGACAACATGGACAGACCCTGCAGACACCCTCGCCCAGGAATGCACAAGAAACATCCTAGACAATAGAGAGAAAACATAAAGGCAAAAAGGTCAGACAGCACGATCACAGACGATGAAATGAAGGTCTCGTGTTGGGTGTTTCAATGGGTTGCGCGAGATCGATCTCGCTCAACAGTCCCATCTGGAGCAGATATAAATATAGCTTCGTCGTCGGGCTGTGTTCAGTTCAGTGTCTTCGGAGTCTCCATCTCAAGCCACCTGCAGCTTTCCTGATTTCTTGCCTCTTTTGTCTTCCCGTCAACACGCTTACATAAGTATTCACCAGCCACATTGGCCCTGTCCTGCGTGCACCGCCTCAGCAGCCCACAGCCAATCATCTCTCATTGACAAGTTGCGCCACTTAATACCTGAAGCTTAAGGCATAATTTCAGGTACGTTGTGGTTTGAAGTCATAGTGCTATAATTGGATTAAGGCAGGAACAACGCAGGCTCCAAGATTCTTTCGCTTCTGTTTCTGTCCATTTTGAGAAGAGAGCGCTTGGCACTAGTGAGTTCCATTTTGGCACCTCATGGTCTTTACCCGGTCTTTATATCTCATCTCGATTCCCATTCTACTCGCCACTCTTTTCCTTCATTACTTTGGAAGTAACACCTCTCTGTTTGGGTTACAGCGCAGCACTCCTCCGTCGTTAAGTAATATATCTCCGCCCGCCATGTCTGGAAAGAAAGCCGTGGGCTATTTTGTCAATTGGGTGTGTATTTGTTTGCCCCTCATCACGCTGCCCGAGTTGATGATGGATCGACATTCAAAATATATTTCTGTTTATCGGGCTAACGACATCAACCCAGGCTATCTACGGCCGCAACTATAACCCCCAGGATCTGCCTGCTGATAAATTGACCCATATTCTTTACGCATTCGCCAATGTCCGCCCAGAAACCGGCGAAGTGTAAGTATTCTGAGTCTGTGAGAGTAGCTGGACCTAATAATTACCCCACCGTAGCTACCTCTCGGACACCTGGTCTGATATCGAGAAACACTACCCCACTGACTCTTGGAATGATACCGGAAACAACGTCTACGGCTGCGTCAAACAGCTGGGCTTGCTGAAGCGACAGAACAGAAAGCTCAAGGTCCTTCTTTCCATTGGAGGGTGGACTTATTCCCCCAACTTTACCCAGGGTGCCGGTAGTCCCGAGAACCGGGACCGCTTTGCCCAGAGTGCTACTAAGCTCATCACTGATCTTGGTTTTGATGGTGAGTTGTCCCCCTCCTTAGTGCGGTGTTGAATACTTATTAATTTCTGGGTTTAGGCTTTGACATTGATTGGGAGTATCCACAGGGTAGGTCGCTTGGGCGTCGGCAATGGTGATGCTGGATGCTAACAGAGGTGTAGATGACACCCAGGCACAGAATTATGTGGATCTTCTCCGGAGATGCCGTGAGGTACGTGCATTGCAGTGTACTTTATATACCTGTGCTAATATGTGAAGGCCTTAAATGCTGCTCAAGGCAACCGGAGGTTCCAACTCACTGTTGCTGTTCCGGCTGGTGAGTGTCCCCCAAACTGAAGCTTCATACACACTCTGACCGTTTATTCACAGGCCCGGACAACTACAATAAACTCAGGCTACAGGAAATGACGCCGTATCTTGACTTTTACAACCTCATGGCCTATGACTACGCCGGTAGTTGGGACCAAACGGCTGGCCATCAGGCAAACCTCAACCCGTCCACAGACAATCCCGCATCCACTCCCTTCAACACCATTCAAGCCGTGAACCACTACATCGATGCGGGAGGTGTCCCATCTGAGAAGGTTGTCCTGGGAATGCCTATCTACGGACGTGCTTTTCAGAACACCGACGGCCCTGGAAAGCCTTTCTCAGGTATTGGCCAAGGCACCTGGGAACAGGGAGTGTATGATTACAAGGCCCTCCCCCTTGCTGGAGCCACAGAGCAGCTGGACACCAACGTCGGTGCATCCTGGTCTTACGATCCCTCGGCAAGAATGATGATTTCGTACGACACCGTGGCTTTGGCTGACATTAAAGCCCGGTATATCAGTGACCGTAATCTGGGTGGTGGAATGTGGTGGGAGACCAGCGCCGATAAGGGCGGCAAGACCGCAAACAAGGCCGACGGAAGCTTGATCGGCACCTTCGTTGAAGATGTTGGCGGTGTCGGTGCCTTGGACCAGACAGAGAACGCAATCGACTACCCCGACAGCCAGTACAACAACCTCCAGAACGGTTTCCAGTAGGAGGATAGGTGAGGTTGATACCGAGTCACTCGTTGAGTTGCAAATGGTCGAACCACGCTACTACGATACATTCGCTATATTGTACATACTACTACTATCGTTACTATACCGGTATACCCCGGCTAGATAGATGAGTTTTTTGATTGATGAACTTTTTCATTCATATTTTAGTATTATCAAGGTTTCTGTTTCAAGGCCACTATAGAACGATCTAAACGCACACGTCCTATTCCAACTCCGCCATCCCTCAACCGACACATCACCGGTACAAAGAAAGGCGAATCCCGGCTAGTCCATTTATTTGGACTCGTCGAAAACGTAGGTAAGGTGGCACTTGCCGCAGTACTGACGGTTCTGCATGGCAGCCATGAAGATACCAGCACCGCACTATAAATCATTAGTTACCATATCTTTTAATAGTGGTGGTGTGATAAGATAACATACCTCGGGAGCGGGGCATTCACGGCGCAGACGCTCGATCTTGCCATCGCCATCAACCTTGTAGTACTTGAGCACAGCGAGCTTGGTCTTCTTGTGCTTGTGCTTGATCTTCTTGGGGGTGGTGTAGACCTTCTTCTTGCGCTTCTTACCACCACCACGCAGACGCAGGACGAGGTGGAGGGTGCTCTCCTTCTGGATGTTGTAGTCCGAAAGGGTGCGACCGTCCTCGAGCTGCTTACCCGCGAAGATCAGACGCTGCTGGTCGGGGGGAATACCCTCCTTGTCTGTGAGAAGCACGTTAGTTTTTATTGCGGTTCTTTGTGGGAATATTCAAGGGAGATAGATACGCACCCTGGATCTTGGACTTGACATTATCGATGGTGTCGGAAGACTCCACCTCAAGGGTGATAGTCTTACCCGTGAGGGTCTTGACGAAGATCTGCATGGTGGAAGGCCTGATGGTTTTGGTATGTTAGTTTTCTGATTGCCTTGAGTGCAGAGGGGAAGGGGGATAGACTGTGTGGCTCGCTCTCCGGAAGATTCATTTTGCCTCTTGCATTTTTGCTCTCAGGTTGTGCGCTCTGCTTTACGGCCAGACACAGCTTGGGAGGGCAGCAAAGGAAAATAATGTCCGGATGGAGCTGCATAGTCTTCCACGGGTTTGGGTTAGGATGCTCACCTCGACACAACTTGTCTTCCTCAACCTTCGTGCGAACTTGCGAAAAGATCTTGTAGAGCGGAGGAGTGGGCTCGTTAAAATCGGTTGTGTGATCACGTGTTGATAAATTCTGGAATAGGCTTAGTGAGAAGGACCTTGAGATGGGCGTATCATGTGATTTGAGGATTGTAATATCATGTGATCGAGGTTCGGGAATTTGTTTATCTGATGTCATTATTGGCCTGAATCCTGAGGCTACCATCACGATCTACACTGTTCAGCGTCAGGTTTTTTTCCGTTGCTACCCAAAGTCTGGGACGGGTTGACGACGACAATCCCTGTGCTCCGAATAATTGATAAATGAAACGATTATTGCTTTGGCTATCTTCAAGGCTATTGCGATGGAAGGGAGCCTCAAGATGATAATGTCTCACCCTCGCAGGCACCGGAAGGCCGGGTTTTCATCCCATGAACGACAGGATGCAAAAGTCGAGACCACCTCAAGGGCCAGAGCGAGCTCCTTGCAGACAGGCTAGCGACTCGGATCGCAGCCTAATCACGATTTCTCCGTGCCTTAGCCAGGGCGGCAGTGATGGTATCGATCCACCTGGCTTGTCCTTCGTAACCTGCCCACCCGCGTTGCTGGGCCAACATCCCCATTGTTGATCTGAACCGTGGATAGCTTCAGCTGCTCCATCCGCCTTTCCTCGGTTTCCACCTCTAAATACCTTATCTATCGTTGGGGCTCCTCTTCATTCCAGGTTCCTCTCATCAGATCTGGAGCTTGAGACGCTCACCTTGGAGCAAGTCGCTACTTACTGGTCTTATTGAGTCCTCGTATTGCTCGACGACCGAGAAAGACAAAACAAAGAACCATACTACCACAAGCAAATTTGTCTTGAGATAGATTTAGCCCCAAAAAAAAGCGGTCTAATCTCTTGACTTTGCCCCTGTTGCGCTTTACCACTGCTCTTCTCTAGCCTTTTCATCTAGTTTGTGCTCTTTATTTGAGAGATCACTCACTGACACTCTTACAGGCGGTTTCCGTTCTCCATCTGCGAGGCCCAGCCCGACGGCTAGCAGCTCTGCGCGAGGTTGGTATACGGCCTACATTATATGCAGGTTTCATCGGTGCATATGCTGATATGTATGATTTCTCCAGTTCCTGCAAAAAGTGATCTGTCAGCTGCCGGTTTATCGATCGTGCGACGAGTATCTTGCCCACCATGTTATCAAACCAAAATAGTCACCTCCAAGGGCGTCATCGCCAACATCGGCGGCAGATCTCGACACCCTCAGCACTCGACGCCGCTAAACCTCCGAGTCTCCCCCCACAGGCACTGCATAGATTCCGTGCTCATCGCCGCGGCCAAAGTCTGGACCAACGAGCTGTGCAAGCTCAGCGACCACAGCTCGCGCAAGATGCGTCAATTACTAACCAAACAGCACCGCAACATCAACCACTTTCCTTTAATACTCCCAACTCGAACCTCGTCCCTTTCATGCCTGACTGCCAGGTCTTCGGTCAAGACGATTTGCAGGCTCTAACTAATGCCAATTATCAAAACCCGCAAAATCTGCCCTACTTAAACACGAACTTTGTGAAGGCCGATGACCAGGCCCGGGACGGTCGACCTGTCAATTACCAGCTCAACCTCATTCAACAACAGCAGCAGCAGCAGCAACAACAACAACAACTGCACAATGCTAAGCTTGGGTGCAACAGCACACTTGAAGCCCAACTGTCCGATAATGGCTCTTGGGATATGTATAACCCAAACCTCGCCTCCTCGCTGCAACAAACCACGAACCAACCACCCCTTGATATGAGACGGCGCTCAATTCAGTCCAACACGAGCAGCTCATATCACCCACACACTCCAAAGAAAACCAAAACACGTAAGCTTTTACAAGTTGACTCAATTTCTTACACCGCCGCTAACGAATAGCTCAGAACATTTCCCCATTTCCCCAGCAACTACGCCGTTCAACAAAGCAGTTGATATTGCTCAGTACTGCGCAGAGCCACAAGTCTCCCCATCAAAGGGACAGAATGTTGGTGACGCCAGCTCCCAGTCGTCGTATATGCAACGCGCCAAATCCCTCCAAGGAGTGGCTGGAACTAGCTTTTCACAGCCGAAGATGGAAATGCCCTCCCCCCCTAACACAGATTCATTTGCAATTGATGGTTTTGATACGTTTGACTACCAGCAGGGTTCCAGTTTTGATATTCTCAAGCCAGAGGACATTCCCAACAACCAATATTCCGTAGCGTCCTCAACATCGTCGTCCCTAAACTCGCCCGAGATCGCTGCAATTCCAAACTCCGAGGACTACACTGAAAGGAACCCCAAAGTTCCAATCTGTCCTGCCACGCCTAGCCGCCTCAGCCCAAGAAAACACTCCAGTACGCCAAGCTCGGCTTCAGTAGCAAAGGCGAAGCTTTCTCCACGTGTCGCATCGATTGATAACCTCAACCTTGATGCCCGAGTGCATGCCTCTATCAAAGATACCGGTGTCTCCATCGACGAAATTGCAGCCTATATCCACGGGCCGGATCCAGAAGATGGCAAGTGGGTTTGTCTCCACCCCGGCTGTGAGCGCCGCTTTGGCCGGAAAGAAAACATCAAGTCGCATGTACAGACCCACCTAGGAGACCGCCAGTACAAGTGCGACCACTGTGAGAAGTGCTTTGTTCGTGGGCACGACTTGAAGCGCCACGCCAAGATCCACACCGGAGACAAACCATATGAATGCCTATGCGGCAACGTCTTTGCCCGGCACGATGCCCTAACTCGACACCGTCAGAGGGGCATGTGCATTGGTGGCTACAAGGGAATTGTGCGCAAGACAACAAAGCGTGGTCGGCCCAAGAAGCACCGCCCAGAGATGGATGAGAGACGCGACAAGGCATCAAAAACCCGCCAGAGAATTGCCGAGAAGTCGTTCGACTCTTCCGGGTCGGACATTTCTCGTCATACGCCGCCATCGGAGATCTTCGAAAACATGAGCATCCATGGTTCTAGCTCAGCGGATGAGATGGTAGCCTTTGACAACCCAAATTACCTACCGCCAGAGGTGTTCACCTTCACTCCCCCCGATTCTCCAAATTACGGAATGAGCAGCAAGCCAGGGAGCACCCGATCCCTCACCCCAAGCTCTGAAGACGAAATGTTGCCCTTATCACCATCAAAGCGGCCCTTGGAAAACATTCTCGAAGAGTCGGGCCTTCCTCATATCCCAGACTCCGGCACATGCTCGTTCTCTACCGTTTCAAGCGCTACTACCCATGCACTCTCCTCTCCACACACGGCGCCTACTCTGAGCGATGCCTCCCAACCATCTGATTTGGATATCTTCATCAACAGTGAGCCCTCTTCTGGGTTTGGCAAGCACGAGTTCTCCACCTTGGGCGACCCCGATATGGCCACATTTCCGGACTACATGAATTCATCTGCTTTTGAAAACAGTTTGGATATGTTGCAAGGGAAGAATTTCTCCACCGCACCCTCTATGGGCGACGATTTCTTTCTCCAGTTCCAAGTCGACGAACAACCATCGGACGTCATGTCTAGGGAATTCTTCCTGGACTAAGACACATCATTTAATAGAGCTTACCTTGATGGAGACTTGACGATGCAACGTAACTTTCGGGATAATATAATGGCTAATGTTCAACAAGACACCTTCACCACTTTACGACTTTTGGCTATCAACAACTGGAACCCATGCGGATGGCAAACGATTTCCGACTTTTAGAACCACACGATATGAGATCATGTACAATTCAGCGACTGCGATTCCCAACGACAAAACCTCATTTCAGCGCAAATGTTTCAAGATGAATTTACTTTTCGGGGCATTTCTTTCTTTTCTCTCTCCATCCATTTTTGGCCTTCATTTTCAATATGGCATATGTACGACCAACCACATTTTCTGGGACTTACTGAGTGGACTGCTTAAAATAGATCGGCGTATTATTTTTTTCTTCTTTTCATTTACTTTGTTTACAGGCCGTCCCTTCCTTTTCTTTGTGCTTTTTATGCTTGGACGAATTTGCTTTTTATTTGCCTATCTTGACCTGACTTGTGTATGATTCTTACGTTTTTGCTATGTTTTCAGATCTCAAATGTCTTCATGTTTACCCAGGGATTGAGGCGTCGGATACTAATCTGGCGTTTTTGCTCTCAATCCTTGGTTATTGACCGGTCTTAATTGATCGCTCGTCTCTTGGCCTGTAATTTACTTATCTAGTCAATGAATGATCTTAGATTGACAGTTCATCTCCCACTTATTATTGGGCTTTCTTTGGTTTGTCCAATTGTTGTTAACAAATATTAGTTGCTAATAGTAGGCGGTAGTGGGAAGTAAAGTAATGAAGGTTGGGCTTATATATATATGCACTCAATGCCCAACGACATCTCCCTGAACTTTAAATAACATACTCCGAGTTGCAACCATAATTCCTGTAACTTCAAGGTTATATAATTGTGTTACCTTAGGGCAAGCGCAACTCAGAGCCCCAGTCGCTTCTGCCACAACGTGTTGATGAGAAGCATACCTTCCTTGGTAAGCCCCGCGGCATAGATACAGTTCGAGGAAAGAGCAACCTACGGCGGGATGACACTAGATTACGCCTTCATCAACTTGTCCACAGTGGAAGAGATACACCTCTTCCTAAATGAGTGGTCGCGCCCTCCGTCCCAAACTTTTGATACGGCACTCCCCTTTGCGAGGAAAGTGTGCAGGCGCAGCAACATAGCGGAGCTGCACTTCTTCCAAACCCTGATTTCCAACTTAGAATCTGCGACGGGCTCTATCGTGTCTTCCCGAATGGAAATTAGGTCTCTATTTCCCACAAGGCTCTTGAAACTGCCGGCATTACCAGCTCGAGCCAATGCGTTAAGGCTCCATCTTTCAGGGCAGTGTTGGTCTCGCTGAGCAAATATATAAATGTATATTGACTTTCCTCAAGGATAGGCGTAAATATGCAACTGGTCTAAGTGACACTGCTGTAGCCCCAATGACTGCACATGGCGCGGTTTAGCCTGCTCCGGCCGTTGGTGGGCTAGGTGCGATGAATCCAATCTATCCAAGCAAAAACGTAGTGGATCTATTCCAGGTACTCATATCACCTCCATGATATGGATAACTCAATCGGATGCTCCCCTTCCGAAACGAAAATGTCGCTTTGCACTTTGCCCTTTGGAGCCTTGTCCGCGAAGAAGGTTGTGTTCCCGTTGTAAGAAAGCTTGCCATCTTGAGTCTATACAGCCGATTGTTAACCGATATTGTAGATCTTTTGGGTTACGCGGTGGAAATAAAGTGACTTACATTGAACTCCACAGGGTTTGAAATTTTGGAATCGCAGGTGAAGATGTCGTTCTTAAAGGCACAGGGACCCTTGCGGGATGAAAGTGTGAATGTATCATCTGTAGGCATTAATATTAACGTCATTGTTGCTTTATTCTTATGCAATGGACACGAACCAGAGGCCTTTTTCGCTCTGAATGTTGCACAGGTACCTGATGAATACCAGGTTCCACGACCAATTATGCAACCTCGCTGCTGACCCATTGTAGAGACAACCAAGCTCCCCCTTCCGACGAACGGAGCGCCTGTCGGCTTAGGGGGATGTCGAGTGGTGGTGGGTTTTCCGGGGTTGTTGTTCGGTGTCTTTGGTTGGTAA